TAGATGATTTTTCAAACCCAACACTTCAATGCTCCAATTTTCTGCACCATATTGCTCTCCTTGATTACATCAAACCTTATAATCTGGCTCCGTTACACTTTACAAGCATAGCGCCTCAGCCCTCCTTTCCAAATTTTCATCCATACAAGAATTTCCATGAGGTTTATTTATAGGTTATTATTTTGTTTTTAATTATAATCTGGCGCCGTTATTTTGGGTTATTTTGGATGATCCTAAATATAATTTTAGAAGTTTTCACTTTAAATATGCCTCAAGATTCATGACCGATTAAAATAATTTTTAATTACATATAGTTCATAAATGATACTTTACTTATCTTAATAGATTTAAGTTTTAGAGTATTATAATTTATTATAAAAATAGAGTTTAATTTTGTTAATATAATATTTAATATTAAAAATTTAAAAAAAATTTTACGTACATTTTTACTTGTATACATTTTAACATTTATGGATTTTTATATACCACAGAATTCTTTAATTAGTGAAATATGAGGTGTCTATTCCAAATTTTCAATTATCTTTTATGTAAACTTTTATAATTAAACTAAATAATTTCGAGTTGTCCTGACTATAAAAGAAGAATTTTAAATTGTAGCATCGAAATAGTTATATATTATCTTATAAAAAGTATTTATTTTTATTTCATTTGACTTATTCAGATTTTACTTTTCTCATCTTTAAATAAATTGTAATAGAATTACCGGCCAAAATTTTTCTTTCTATTTCTAAACCACAAATTCTCCAACATTTTAGGATCTCTAACCATTCACCATTCTAAGCCAAGTAAGACACAAAATGCGGACTATAAGTTAATATAGTTTGAACACAAACATTTCAACAAAATATAAACCCATAATATAGGAACATAACCAATGTAAGTAATTTCTCTTTCTCATTCTATTCGTCTCTTAATTTTCTTTCCTTCACCAAGCTTCTCTCTAACCCCATCCATTCTCTAATTGACTTCAAAACTCGACTTTTAAAAAGACACTTTATTGAATTGCTTAATTTTTTTTTCTTGGAGGCCGAATAAATTTCCAAATGGGAGAATTCCAAAGATAAGGAAGTGACCCATGAGAGGTTGGAAGAGCTTGGTGGCTCTGCTATGGCAACCCAACGATCCCCTAGCAAAGGCCCGTTTGCACAACCTTTTATTTCACCCAAAGAGTTGGGGTTGTCAACGAATTCTCCGATGTGTGAAGTCTGTATCAGGGATCGATAGCTCAGCCCCTCAAACATTGAATCCTAATACCAAATATGAGCACCAACAAGAAAGAAATGCTTTATATCTCTAGGTATATCATTCATACTCAGTCGTCTCAGATAGTAGTTTGGAAAGGAGAGCCCGAGAAAGAATGCTCTCTTCTGTCTGAGAAGGCTCCTGCTGAGCGACATTCCATTGGAATCTTAGAAAAAAGAAGGCCTTCCTCTGATGCCACGATAGAGAAAGGAAAGAAACATCATTGTTCCTCAACGCCATCCAAGTCACTATTGGGAAAGGACGATCCTGGTAAACCAGTTGTGCAAGAAACAACGGTCGACAAAAATGACCGACGCAAGAAGTTTTCTATTTCTTTATCTCGAAAGGAGATCGAAGAGGACATCATTATATTAACGGGGAGAAAACCGGATAGAAAACCTAAAAAGAGACCAAAAGCCTTGCAAAATGAGCACTCGACGTAAGTAAAATTTCATATTCTGAATATATAATTCCCATCTTGTGTGTATTTATTTCTTAATTTTTTTCTTCTTAAGATAACTTTGGTGTAATTGATTTAGTTTGATTCGCTATTTTATAATGTATGTGATAATCTTTGCAGGCTCTATTCCTCTGCTTTTGCTGTCGAGAGTCACATAGATATGTAACTGAATGAGACAATTCTTCATTCTACTTTTTGGATGTTTCCACCTACAAAGTCTATATCGAATACAAATAAGATTACGATCTTCTTCGGCAGAAGAAGCAAAGGAGGGCATGTCATGCAACGTTTAAAGAATTTCAGAATATGAGCATAGTTATTTATATTTTTGAAATTTTATCTTTCCCTAACAAAGTTCTGTAAATTCTGTTTTTAATTTAACTTATAGAGTTAACCAAGTTATGTACATTCTTATGTTGGGAAATTTTATTTAACTTATGGAGTTAAAAAATCCTTCCAACTTGAAACGTTTTATTTTTTCCTTTATTTTTATTTATATTTCTGTACATTCTTTTAAAATGATGATGAAATGCTTATAATATAATGAGATGAATAACCAAATAACATAATTTATATATCGTATGGTGCTAAAAGACAGACACAAATAAGAAAATCACTCCAACAAAGTTAACAAGTTCATTAGGCAAACCAATTACACAACCAAGAAAAGGATTTGCCTTTTAAGCCATTCATCTTCATCAACATTTTCCATTGTAATTGATACAACAACAATAGCAACATCAATCCAGTATCCCACTACGTGGGGTCGGCTACATGAATCCTTTTTCTCCATTGTGTCTGGTTAAGAGGCATGTTCTCATTTAGATATAATAAAGAAAGATACATTCTAATATTTTATAACCGAGTCTTTTTAGCTCTACCTCTACCTTTCTTAACAGAGGTTAAATCTAATACATCTACTCTCCTGATTGGGTCACTGGGAGATCGCTGTTTTATGTGACCAAACCAATCTAAGGCTACTCTATCTAATCTTATCATGCCACTGGAGCTTCTCCAACCTTTTCACATATATGCTCATTTTGTATCTTTTCTCTAAGAATAAAGCCAATCATCCCCTGAGCATCATATCTGCAACAAATAACTTAATATTATGATTTTCTTTTAATAGCTAACATTCTCCTCAATAAAGCATTACAGGCCTAACCACCATGTTATAGGATTTTCCCTTACATTTGAGTGGTGTTTTTCTATCACACAATAAGCCCGATGCATTCCTCCACTTCATCCATCCATCTTGAATTCTACTAATAATATCCTCATCTATTTCACTATCACTCTCAACAACAGATCAAAGATATCTAAAATGTGTATTCTTATTAATGACTTGATCGCAGTAAAATAGTATTGTTGCATGAAAACATTTTTATAAAGTTTACTTTAAAATAATATAGGTTTAAATATTTAGTTTAATGCTATGTTGAGATATTCATTAATTTGTTTAATCAAAATATAAAATTTAAATGTTGGATATCACTTTTATTTTTATTTTCTTAACATGTTTGTTTAACATAGATTTTAATAGTTTTTATTTTATTTTTAAAAAATCAAGCAGTGTTTAAAACACAGAAAATAACTTCAATATGATTTAAGTATTTTTTCTAATTTTCTACTAAAATATATATTTTTCTAATATGATAATCACCATGGGTCAAATGGCACTGCCATGGCAACCACTTTCGCCATCTTCACCCAAACGACCACTGATGCCAGTGCTTTGGCAGCCACCATCATAACTACATAAATACAAATTATTTAATATTTAATATATATATATATATATATATATATATATATAATATATATATATATATTATATTTAAATAAAATAAGATACCAAATAAATTTTATTGTATATCAAAATAAAATAATAAAGTGATTCCAAGCAGCCCCTTATTTAATGTCTATTAGTTTGCACGATTAATTTTTGCATCAAATCTGAAATAGTTATGTGTATGATTATGTTGCATAAGAATTATATCAACATGCTACTTTCCAAGATAAAGATGGCATTTGATAAATCATAAAAATCAGTTTGATTCACACGAATCTCAATGCAAGTTGAAATGTAAACCTTAAAATTTAGCTCTAAAGTATTTGAACATTAATTTTAACGAATTTATAATCAAACTAATTTGCTTGACGGGCTGAACCTATAAACAATAAAAGAAATTCTACATAGTCCAAATGAACCCATATAAGGCCTTAAAAGCAAAGTTGAAATTTTTGGGATATTAATTGGAGGAGCAAATGATCCCCACATTTTGCATGCATATAGTTGAATCGAGTAATTTGACAAGATTAATCCATCGAGCCCATGATCACTTAATTCTGACATCATTAGCACACTTAAATTAAAAAAGAATGATCGATTATCAAGGGAATCAATATGTATTGTAGCATGGAGTGTTCCACTCTCAAAATTTGTTTATATTTACAAGGCATGTTACTCTCTACATAAAAGAGGCTCTTAGTTTGAGATCCAAACAGCTTAGAGACATGAAGAATTCTGAACATCGAACCGAGCACCACTGTTTCCATCGAACCACTGCTTGATTGCCATGCAAGACCACCGTTCGACCACTAATGTCGTACCTCCGTCGGATGCAACATTAGCTGCTGCTCGACAGCAACCATCTAACCACCACGCGATCATTGTCATCAAATCACTATCGATTGTCACTATTGGATCACCATCATCAAATCATCATTGCTAACCTCTACCATTAGATCGATCACTGTCGTCTGACTATCATCATCAAACCTTTACCTAAACACTATCGTCAAATAATCAACATCATTAGATCATCGTTGTTAGACCACCATTGCTTGACCAAGATCATTGGACCACGAATATCATTGGACAACAGTCATCATTGAATCATCATCATTGGATCACTGCCACATGGTCATCTTAGTCCAATCGATGTAGCTGACCACCATCATCATTGCTCTATTAGTTTTTAAATATGCATTTTCTATTTTTAATAGTTTTCAAATACATTTTTCAGCAATAAAATTTCAAATATATATATATATATATATGATTTTGCTATAACATAAGTTGCTTACATGAAAGACTAAAACCAACCCTTAAAAGGGTAGAGTGACCCTAACTATTTTAAGGGAATTTTTTTGGTATGATTTTCATTTGTATACTAAAAAGACTCGTGACAATAGAGAGGGAGATTAGTTTCTTAATTTTATACAAAAGTCCATCACTTATGTAGATTGAATGAAATAATAAAAGAAACATCACAATTTTTATATGAAACCGCTAAAAGTGAAAAAAATCATGTGGCCTCATCTTGTTAAAATGATATATTATGAAAGTATTATTACATATTTATGCCTTTTCCCTCAATTGAAGAACATGCAATTACAAATTGAGAACATTAACTTTTTCTTACTAGTGAAGTAGACATTTTAGAAGTAGTGGAAGGCTGTGACATTGATCAGGAAATGAAAATAGACAATAAAGATCACAAAATGGTGATCATAATATAAAGATCGATTATGATGCTAAATCATGTTAGTCAGGTAATGATGGTCATACTATTTTGGCAAGGAACGATAGTAGGGAGACAGTAGTCAGGTAAGGATAGTTGGACAACGGTGGTTGAGCGACAAAAAAATTAATAGTGGTCATCGACATCGATTATTGAGCCTGGCTATGGAGCTCTTCAGATGTCCAAACTTCCTTTAATTTTAAGTGTAGGTCTAAGCTTCATCCATGCAAAGAATGATGGTATTTATTATTATTTTTGGGTGCAATTTTGATAATTTTAGTAAAAACAATTCCTAAAATACTCCGATGGATGGCATGTATTACTTCCTTAATCATGCATTATTCTTTTAGCAATCAAGTCCCTTAATAACTTAATAATTAGCCTAATTTAGGGTTCATATATTAGCTTAATTTTTTAAAACATATCATCTGTCCCTATTTTTGGATGTTTTTTTATTATTTTCTTGCTTATTTCATCACATCTTCTTAATTTTTTTTTTTTTTTTGGTTAGACGATTATTTATATATGTATATTCCTCCCAATTTTTTTTTTCCTAAATATGCCATTTTAATTTTTAAGCGAAGCTTGTTCTTTTAATGTCTTGATGTTGAAATTATAATTTTTTTTTTGTATTTTTAATCTTTAGAATTACCTTAAAGTTATTTTCCTAGAACAATTCTTAATTGGTTATTATTAATGATTACTGCATTGCATTCATGCCATAGATAAATTCATTTAAGTGTCAAACGAAATTTTCTGTCTTACTTGATGTCTTTAGAAAAAGAATTAAGTGATTTATGTCTTTCATAATTTTTCTAATATTATTGTTATTTTTTTGTATATTTTTCTTTCAATTTATACCATTATATATATATATATGTGTGTGTGTGTGTGTGTGTGTGTGTCATATGCATCTTCAAATATGGAGCTTGATTTCTAGCTTGATGAAGACTTTAAGTGTCAATATTGATAATGTTAGACATGGCATTTGTGTTTATGGTATTGGAATAATTTGAGATATTATGTTGTTAAGGGAGAGGATATATCATTGCAACAAATTTTACATAGGAATAGAAGGGATCCCCCAAAATTTATCTGCTTATTGTTGAATTGAGTGGCTTGATGAGAAGAATCCAAAGAGCCAGGATCACTCAATTCTGATATTATTAAGGTCCTTAAATGCTAAATAAGAAGTTCAGGATCAATGGAATTAGTATGGATGGTACAATAGAGTATTTTGAATTCTGATTCAACTTATTAAAATGTCACCTAAAAATATCTATAAATAGAGCCCCATTCTTCACAACAGAAGAAGAGGAAGATGGGATAGAACTAAAGAGCTCTCATACAATTTTCAACTATCATTGCTCACAATGACCACCAATTATTGCCACCGATGATAACCATCACCGCTAACAATCAACATTAGTAATCGCCTTCATCATCTTTAAACTTATGCTAAGATCTAATCCTGTTTTTGGATTTCAACCCTTTAATTTATGGAGAAATATTTTTTTTGTTCTCAAATAATCCTTTTGTTTTTCAACTATGACGAAGAAAGATCTTGTATCTTCTGATATATACTGGATTTTACCGTGCTAAAACTTGCAATTTTATTCCCTTTTTTTTTTTGTTCTCC